AAATAAAATCAGTTCTGTTTCATCATTTCCAGTCTTTATGTCTTTTATCTCTTTCTTGTCTCATTTCACTAGCTAGAGTTTCCAGTAACGTGTTCAATAACAGCAGTAAGGGTAGACATCCTTTCCTTTTGTGTAAGCTTAAGGGCACAATATTCAGTCTTTCCTCATTTAGCTATAATGTTTGCAATAGGTTTTTGCTGATGGTCTTTAACTAGTGGAGAAGTTCTCCTCTATTTCTAGTTTTATGAGACTTAGAAACTTAAAAAAATAATGAATTGTTATTTATTAGGAAAGTGCTTTTTTCTCCATCCTTTGATTTAATAATCTGATTTCTTTTCTGTAGTTGTTAATATTAAATACATTAATTGATTTTCAAGTATTTAATGCACCTTCCATCCCTGGAATGAACCTCACTTAGTTATGTTTTTAGTTTTTTTTTAATGTATTGCAAAATTGTATTTGCTAATGTTTTGTTAAAAATTTTTGCATCAAATGAAACTATCATTAGAGTGAACAGACAACCTATAGAATGGAAGAAACATTTTGCAATGTATCTATCTGACAAAGGTCTAATATGCAGAATCTATGAGAAACTTAAACAAATGTATTAAAAAAAACAACTCCATTAACAAGTGGATAAAGGACATGAACAGACACTTCTCAAAAGAAGACATTTGTGTAGCCAACAAACATATGAAAAAAAGCTCAACATCACTAATCAGAGAAATGCAAGTCAAAACTACAGTACGAAACCATCTCACAGCAGTCAGAATGCCAATTATTAAAAAGCCAAGAAACAAGAGATGCTGGTGAGGCTGCAGAGAAATAGGAATGCTTTTACACTGTTGGTGGCAATATAAATTAGTTCAACCATTGTGGAAGACAGTATGGAAATTCCTCAAAGACCTAGAACCAGAAATACCATTTGACCAACAATACTATTACTGAGTATAAACCCAAAGGAATGTAAATCATTGTGTTATAAAGATACATGTATGCATATGTTCATTGCAGCACTATTCGCAACATGGAATCAACGCAAATGCCCATGAAAGACTGGATAAATAAAATGTGGTACATATACACCATGGAATACTATGTAGCCATAAAAAGCAATGAGTTTCTGTTCCTTGGAGGGACATGGATGGAGCTGCAAGTCATTATCCTCTGCAAACTAACTCAGAAACAGAAAACTAAATACTGCATATTCTCACTTACAAGTGGGATCTGAACAATGTGAACATACAGACACAGGGAGGGGTACAACATACATTTATGCCTGTGGCAGGGTGGGAGGAGGAAGAACAATGGGAGAAACAGTTACTGCACGCTGGATTTCATACCTAGGTGATGGGTCGATAGTGCAGCATATCACCATGGCATGTGTTTACCTCTGTAACAAAACTGCACATCCTGCATATGCATCCCAGAACTTAATATCAAATAAATAATTTTTGCATCTACATTTCTGAGGGACATTAGTCAGTAGGTTTTATTTTTTGTACTGTCCTTGTCTGCTTTTGATATCAAGATAATTCTGGCTGGCTTTGTACGAAAAGTGGGAAGTATTGCCTCCTCTTCTACTTTGTGTAAAATTAGTGTACATTTTTTTAAACTTTCGGTAGCATTCACCAGTGAAGCCATCTAGGCCTTGAGATGTATTTTTCGAAGGTTTCAAATCACGAACTCTTCCTTAACAGTTACAGGGCTGTTCACATCATTGGTTTCTTCCTGAAAGAGTTCTAGTAGTTTTACCTTTCAATGAATTGTTATATCAAGTTTACATGTGCAGAATTTTCCATAATTTTTACTTAATTTACTTTTCACACCTTTTTGTTGTTGTTGTTGTTGTTGTCGAGACGGAGTTTTGCTCTTGTTGCCCAGGCTGGAGTGCAATGGCGCAATCTCGGTTCACCGCAACCTCCGCCTCCTGGGTTCAGGCAATTCTCCTGCCTCAGCCTCCTGAGTAGCTGGGATTACAGGCACGCGCCACCATGCCCAGCTATTTTTTTTTTTAATTGTATTTTAGTAGAGATGGGGTTTCACCATGTTGACCAGGATGGTCTCAATCCCTTGACCTCGTGATGCACCCACCTCGGCCTCCCAAAGTGCTGGGATTACAGGCTTGGGCCACCGCACCTGGCCGGCACACCTTGTTTTATACAGAGAGTCATAATCTGTGTCTTTTCTCTTGTTTTCTTTGTCAGCCTTGATAGGGATACATAAATCTTATTGATCACCTTAAAGAACCAACATTTTACTTCATAATTTTCTCAGCCTTTCAGTTTTGTGTATCTGCTTTTACACAGTGTTTTGGTTTTCAGTTCCACTGATTTCTAGTGTTATCTTTATTACTTTCCTCTGTTTGCATTGATTTTCTTTTTGGTTTGGTTCGTTTTGCCTTGGTTTCCTGTTTTGGGAGCTTAGATTATTGATTTTAGATGTTCCCTTGTTTAACAGAAGCCTTAGAATCACCATTTTCCCTCTGCCTACTGTTTTAACTGCACGTTGGAAATTTCGGTATCCTCCGTTGTTATTTTAATTCAGCTCATTGTATTACTTTATTTTCCTGAGACTTCTCCTTTCTGCATAGGGATGATTTAGAAGTGAATTGTTTAATTTCTGGGGTTTTGGAGATTATCCTGCTGGATTTCTGTTACTGACTTCTAGTTCGATCCCACTATAGTCAGATAACACACGCTAGGTAATTGCAAGTTTTAAACATTTATTGTGGTTTGTTTTGTGGTGCGGAATTTTTGGTCTATCTTTGTTTATGTTCTGTGGGTACTTGGAATCAATGTGTAGTCTGCAGTAGTAGTTGAGCGGACTGTTCTATAAATATCAGTTAGATAGTAATTGTTGGTGATGGTGTTGGGTTTTATATACTTGCTGATTTTCTGTCTAGTTCTATCACTTATTGAGTGAGAGCTGTTGAATTCTTCAAGTATAATTGTGGATTTACCTATTTCTATGTTCAATTCTGTTACTGTTTGCTTCAAATTATTTTACAGTGCTCTTGGATGGTGCATGCACATTTAGGTGCGTTGCCATTCTGAAACACTTTGAGACTCAGCGGAGTGACCCACAAGGCCTCCCGTTCTTCATGCTTCCTCCTGCCATGGCACTTGGGGCTTGCTGACATCCACTTCTTCTTGGTCAGCACCCTGACGTCTGTGTCACCTTTTCATGTCATCCACCAGGATAAATGACATAATTCCCATCTATGATTTGTTGCCACATTAAAAAAATTATTTAAAATTTTTTGTGTAGGTAGTAAATGTATATATTTATGGGGTATATGGAATATATTGATACAGGCATACAATATGTGATAATCACATCAGGGTAAACGGGGTATCCATCACCTCAAGCATTCATCCCTTAGTTCAAGAGCCTTCTCTTTTATTTCAGGAGTGACTAATATCCCCATTATTGATACACGGTGTAAGGAATTTCTTACAAATTACTAGTATAAAAGGGCTGCCTTAGAATGAATTCCATGTTGACCAACTATTCAACATATAACAATCTCCCTTCACTACATAGAATTACACGCAAACACATTTTCACTGTAGTGAATAAATTTTAAGAAAGACAAAACCAGAAAATGCAACTAACCTTTGCTCCTTTTGAGCCATTTAAAGTTATGTGGTTGTAGTTGATGACGTGTTTGCATTAGATATGTACACTTTTGTCGGCACTGCAGCTCTCGTGAATTTTTTTTTTCTTAAGAAGAGAAAAAGTTTTTCAACTTAGTATAGCAAAACCCTTTTCTAAGGGCCTATAAATAATTTTGAGTCCCTGGTGCCGCCTGGAAATGTAGCTCTTCTGAGCTGCAATGTCGGCTATTTCTCTGAAACTGGAGTAGTCATTCAAAAATAGTTTCACTCAATTTAACTGCCTATTGAACCCTCTAAATTACAGATATTAAGCCTTTGGTTTCACAACAAACTTAATGAACAGTTCTGACAATCTATAAGCAAGGCCACTGGAAATTCATGGGCCAGATGGAATCACAGATTACACCATTTTCCTACTGCCCTGCAATTTTCTGGCACCTGGTTCTACATTCCAGGGATACGTATTATGTCTGGTGCAATAGTCCCTGCCCTTAATAACTGAATTTGTGTTTTAGAAAGCTCAATTCTAGCAGAGAAAAGGTTCCAAACTTTCTCTCCTGATTCTTTGAAATATCAGGGCAGAGCTCAACCTATTCGGATTTAAAATCCAAAGTGCTCTAAGCGTACTCTTTAAGAGGAAATTCGTTTAGGACAGGGAGGGACCACAGGAACAGGCAGGGGAGGCAAGAGTAATGGGATGAAGAGAGAAATCTGTAATATCAGGTGTGGGATAAAATAGAAAATACATAAATTAGCAAAGGAAGAAGGGAAGATAGCTCAAAAATCAAGACATTCCCCCAAGAATCTCTCAGTTATTCCTAGGAAAATTAGCATTGGTGATGTATATTTTGCTATAAAGATCCCGCATACATGCTGTACAGTGATTTCAAAGGGAGTGCACTTAATCACGGAGAGATTCCTTTTCACATCCTGAAAAATGGCCAAGTGTCAGTGACATGATTGGATATGAGAAAAAGAGGCTGTGTGAATCAATTTCCTCATTCAGAACATTCACAAACTGCAGCCTCTGTGCTCCAGCACATTACAAATTTCCTGTTTTCAAAGAACGTGTATCACTCTTTCCCCATCTTTGTATTTATTGTGCTGAATTCTAATTGTTTATTTATTTACCAATCTGTTGTTCTCAGAGTACATGATGTGTCATTGAGAGAGCTTCATCTTATTTACCTCCATGTCCCTTGTGTCAATAGGCCTGAAAAATAGCCAAATGTTGGCTGACAGGATGCATGCTCCAATTTCCTTGGGCAAATTCAATGATTTAAACATGGATATGCATTTAAAGCAGAGAAAAGCATCCAAGGGAGAAACCAAAACATGACCTGAAACATTCAAACATATGACAGGTAAAGAATAGCTCGCCTGCATCGGTATCAGCATTGAGCACTCTTCCTGGAGAATTCTGTGGATATGATTTCTTCTCGATGCATTTCACTTGGCTCACTGTGGATACCAAGAGAGATGGTCTCCCTGACAGGAAGCAAGGACTCTGTCCTCGGTGCTCCTGGGATAGAATGCCTTTGGTGGAAAGCAGAGGAACTTTCATTAGCATTATACATGACACAGAACTTGTTATTTAGAAAAATAACTATAGAATGGTTTGATATTAGGGGCTGAAAGGTCCTGGAGAATTGGCAGTACAACTTATTTTACAGTTGTGGAAGTGAAACTCACCTGAGAGAAGCAAGTCACCTGTAGGAGGTGGCTGGGTCACCACATGATTACTTTTATGCTGCCCAACCTAGGGTCCCTGTCCTCTTTGGAATATCAAAACCTGGCAAATGCCTTATGAGGACTATTTTCATATTTTTCAAAACATCTAATGAAAATCAGATTTTTCTTATCCATTGAATTGTCAAAATAGTAAAAATTAAGTTTTTTTTGTTGGTGAGGAGATATTTCTTTACTTTTGGCTGAAATGATGGTGACAATTCAGTCAAATTTGTTATTTGTTGATAGATCGTTAGGAAGACATGAGCCAATGACACCCAAAGCCAATGACAAATGCAGTGCATTGTTTATTACCCCTACTTCGCTTTGGTTTTTAGATGATCTTTAAAATATTGTTGAAGAGCCTGAAAATGTGTTTTTAGTGTGGGTGGAGGGGGCGGGGGGAGAGAGAGAACTATACCTGCTCAACAAATATCCCATCTTCTTCCTTGACACATCCTGAGCTCTTGAGTGTTATGCAGGGTGAAGTGACTATAGCTTTCCTATAAAATGTAAGCAAAACTAAACATGCATCCTTTCTGGTCTGAGGTGGTAGAAAACCCTTGTGCAATTTGCTAATTTTTCTCTACTACAGGGACAAATGCATGTACCAGACAGAAGAGGCTTGTCTTCATCTCACTCAGCACCCCCTGCCAACCCTTTTAGAACAAAGAACATGAGGAAAAAATAAATTCATCTGCTGTTTATTATAGAGAATTGAGGTCATTTGTTCCTTTAGCATACACTAAATTAACCTGACTAGGTCAAGATCTAACATTTCTCCGGTACCTACCTAGCCTGTCGGGTGCTATTGAATCGTAATTTCACTTAATTCTTACAAAGGTCTATGATGGAACTGAGATCTCCATGATATTGACTTTGCAGTTGGGGAAGAACTGAGGCTCACTGGCCCTCCATCCATTTCTAATGTTCCACATTTAATAACTAGCTGCACAATTGGACTGGAATCCAATCCCTGCTGGCCCCACTACCCATGCACTTTGCACTGTACCATGTCACTAGATGAACCGTTAAAATCTTGTGAGACAGTGGCAGAGTCCTCCTGAGTTCAAATCCAGTGCTCCATGATTTTTGCGCTCAGAACCAATGATATCTTTTCATTAATGCAGATTCAAAAGGAACCTGCTATGGTCATCGCAACCACTGCCATCACAGTACATTCAATATTATTTTTTCTTTCTAAAAATAATAAACAACAGAGTGGCTTTCTTAATCTCAGCCTTAAATTGCATGTCAAATATAGACATCACAGTGCTAACTAACTCTTACAAAGGAAGTCTAAAGTTGTTTACCATGGCATTTCCAGTGACATGCATCACATCAGATGCAAAGAGTCCGATTTACATGTCTCACTGATTATCTGAAGGAATTTTTCTCCGCCTCCTCCATCTCCTGCTCAGTTGTGTATCTATTTCCTTTCCTTCAACTAGGTCATGCATTGCCAGAAAGGTTAAATGTAAAAGTCAGCAGTATCTGGCAGAGACGCATGTGGAGATGGAGCTGGTCTGTGCTGCTCTCAGACTGATTAAATAAAGGATGCCGAGGGAGTAGAATGAGGCTGGATGCATACTTTACTAAATGAAAGTAATGCATTAGAATGCAGCTTTAGGGTCTCATTTAAAAATATAATTCAGGCACCAGCAGAAGCCTTTAAAATATCGGCAGATGTCTTTATGCCACATTTCATGTAGAGGACAACGTGGATTAAAAGACAAATGCAATCCTCAGAATGGTTCAGCTTCCCTTATACTCCTGGTGCTTTAATGTCTTTTAAATATATTTTATTTAAAGAGCATTTTTACATCTATTTTTTCATATGCTATCGCAAAATTACTCGAAATCCGCTAGAGATAATTTCAAACTATTAATTTCTATATACATTTTTTCACTTCCATGTCCCTTCATCCAGCGTGGATTTAGAACTTACTATTTGCAGACTGTAAAAATGAAGACTGTTACCTTCAGGGGAAAAAATGGAAATATCACAGGGAAGCTGATTGGAACTGACTTTCCTTTTTGAATCTCACAGGCTTTGTCAAGGGGGTCACTCCAGGGAATCATTTCTCATAAAAACCCTTGCGTTTTCCTCTTCAGTTTGTGAGGAGGTGATGAAGGACAAAAGAGCTATTGTTCTCTCACTTCTACAATAATTTCCCCCAGTGGTGTTTTATTGGGTTCTGCATTTCGGAATCTGTCTTCCCTTTTCCTGATCCTCCTATTTTTTAAGTCAGTAATGAGGAGTTCAAGTGCTGATACAAGCATTGTGCTGTCTGTGTGGAGATGAACTTGGAAGATTTATCAATTAGGGAGGCTTTTGTGATACTCAAGTGGGGAAGTAGTTTCCAAAGCTACCTATTTTCTAAGACTGAGATAAAAGGATTGCCAGCCTCTTTACCGGAGAATGTGACTCCAGCTGACCAAAGTGAAAAAGTCAGAAATGAGAATGCTGCTGACCTGAGAGTTTAGGGGAATCACAACACCCCTTGGACCCATTACTTTCGACTTGTGATGAGATGTTCTTTTTGAGTGGTTTACAGCAAGGGGCATCTCAAGGGATTCTGCCCCTGGACAAACCTGACCAGGCATGGCGTTCATTAGAAATCTAAAACTGCCATTCATGTATTTAGGAGCCAGATAAAACTGAAAATTTATTTAAAAATATATATTTCCTCTTAAGCTCTAGTGTCTTTATGTGTAAGAACTATCCTTAAAAGTGAATCAGCAAGCTTCAAGAAAACCACTGAATCTAACTCTTAACAAAATTTTGGTTCTGTATATAAAAAATACTTTTAAAATGGTGTGTTATTTAATTTAAAAGACAAAATTAAGTTAAAAATTAGAGCCAGCCTCACCATACAACTAGTTGTAAACTTAGAATGACCTGAAATATGGTCAGCCCTCTATTTTTCTCATTTCGAAGGGGCTCAGAAAAGTGCTAGGATAACTGGAAGCCAAGAAGTGGCATCATCCTTCGTATCTCCTGGTCTCCCAATTCCTTCATTCTACTATGTTCAGACTTAATTATTGCTTGAGTTTTGTTTTTGTTTTTAATACAATCCAGGTAATTTTTTTTGAAGTTTACTTTAGTCACAATAAGAGTGGTTGTTTACTTATTTTGAGCACATTTGGATCTCATGCCCTTGATTTGGAAGTTACCTATCCAGTTTGTTTTTTTTTAGACGGAGTTTCGCTCTTGTTACCCAGGCTGGAGTGCAATGGCACGATCTCAGCTCATCATAACCTCCGCCTCCTGGGTTCAGGCAATTCTCCTGCCTCAGCCTCCTGAGTAGCTGGGATTACAGGCACGCGCCTCCATGTCTAGATAATTTTTTGTATTTTTAGTAGAGACGGGGTTTCACCATGTTGACCAGGATGGTCTCGATATCTTGACCTCGTGATCCGCCCACCTTGGCCTCCCAAAGTGCTGGGATTACAGGCGTTAGCCACCGTACCTATCCAATTTTTTATGCACATAAAATGTACACGTTCATAAAGCAGAAAGTATTTATTTATTTTGTATAGATTTTGCCATCTGCAGGGGAGCATGTAATAAATATTTAATTTTCGTCAAATGGGCACATAAGAAATGCTTTGATGATAAATTGGACTTGCTTTCTGAGATTTATTTAAAAATATATGTCTGGGAATAAAGCTACTATGGAAGCAAACAGACTTTTAATATTTCTTCTGGAAGCCTTAATTTGGAGACCACAACATTTCATAAAGTTCTCCTTGAATTTTTAGTGTTCAATGCTTCTACTCTGACTTTCGTGACATGTTAAGTCAGGTAATGAGGCAATCTGCGTCTCAGACATTTCTTATTCATTTTTATGTAAATTAGGGTTCCGCTACTTTGTTTATTGGCTCCTACTACAAAAGAAAAGAGAGAATATGCCTTTTCAAAAAAGATAAATTTCAATAGATCTGTCTGTCAAAGATGCAAAATAAATCTTCGTTTTCAAACTTCTGCTGCTGAGAGGGAGAAAATACCTCTTTTTTTAAATGTGTTTTCATATTTGCATGGGAAAAATAAAACGTCAAGAATTAAAGCAAGAAACGCAAGTATGTAAAATGTGAAAAATACAGAACAGAGCAGGGGTCTTCTTGCAGGAACCCTAAGCAAGCCTGACAGGATGTCATGAGAAAAGAAGAAGGGTGAATTCATTCTTACAAATAGTTTAGAAGCCAACAAAAATGTGTTCGTTGCGTAGACTTTCCAACGTTTCTGTAAGATTAGGACCCCCAAAATTTCTTTTACTTCTATTTTCTTATAATGTTCTACATTAGAGTCGAAAATCAGTAAAACAACTGTTATGGGTTGAATTGCATCCCCTTCAAATGCATATGCTCAAGTCCTAAGCATCATAGCCTCTGATTGCTACCAGAACAGGATCATCGCAGATGTAATTAGTTAAGACGAGGTCATACTGGAGAAGGGTGGGCCCCTAGACCAATAAGATTGGTGTCCTTAGGTAAAAAGAAAAGAAAAAGTTGCACAAGACACATTGCACACATATACACACACAGAGGGAGGAGGACATGTGAAAATTAAGGCTGAGATCAGGTTGGTGCTTCTATAAGCCATGGAACACTAAGGATTGCCAGGAAAGCACCAGAAACTAGGAAGAAGCTTGAGACAGATTCTTCCTCACAGTTTTCAGAAGGAACCAACCCTGCCTACACCTTGATTTTGGACTTCCAGTCTCCAGAACTGTGAGACAATAAATGTGGGTTGTTTTAAGCTGCCCTGTTTGCGGTACATTTACAGCAGCCTTGAAAACGAACAT